CCACACTGAGAGAAGCATGTCTAGTCTAAGAGAACCAGAGAACCAAGTTACTACTGCAAGAAACGCCCAGGCCTCTGAAGTCCTGCTCTCATCTGGGTAAGGTGTTCGATTCATTCTCCCTCTAGAAAGCCAAGCCCCACCACACTTCCTACCATCATGCTGACCCGGGCCACATGCAATCCTGGGCTTTGGATTCAGCTACCTTCAGCAGCTCTGACTCCCTTCTGATAGTGGGCTCAGCACCTAGTCATGCTGACTTGACCAACCCCAATGCCAGCCTCAAAGAGCCTGGTTCTAGCTCTTGACTCAGCCTATGGCTGGTGCCTTTGCCCCTCTGATGGGATGGTGGGCTCAAGCCAATCCCCCTTTCTGACAATGAAGCGCAGCTCCTTTAAATGGAACCTCTCACCTAAAGGAAACATATCTGGTGTGTTTGTGTGTGTACACATCTTTCTACACCCTGGACACATGAAGAGCAGCTTCACTCCCTGGGCGGTGAGACCAAGAGGCAAGGGCCTTAGCGAGCTGTTCTCAGCACTGATCTGACCACGTGCTGGAATCACAGCAGCGGGGAGAGGTTAGAGCGGGGGATCATTGAGGGGGAGGTTGCTTTGTAAAATTTCCAGTGCCCACCAGAACTTCCAATTCTACCTCAACTGGTCTAGGATGGGGCCTGGGCATCAGGATGTTCTGAAAAGCATCCCAGATGGTTTTAATATGCAACCAGGGCTGAGAACCACTGATTTAGAGAGAAAAGGGCAGAGAGCATTAGCTGAGACTCCCGTGTACTCAGGTGGAGAGCACACAATTTAAAAGTAGTTCCTACCCAGGCCCCTTTTCTGGGAAAGATAACCTCTGCAGCCTACAAGGTAACCATTAGAACGGGGTATTGAATTCTGGTGCCATGTGTCATGCAGACAGTCTCACCAGTCTGAGCCTCAGTCTCCCCAACTATTAGGAAAATAGCTACTCTAGATTCACTTGTGTTACTTCTCTCATCTCCCATTTTCCAGCTTTATGCATTTCCTTCTCTCTTCATCTCTCACTTAAATACAGACTGTTTATATATTTGCCTTTCTAGGTCTCAAAAAATGTTATATGTGTTGTCTTAAAATTAGATTTGGATAGAGTCTGCCCTCTAAATAAAAAATAGCACAGAAACTATAAGCTCTATAATTTTTTTAATCCTCACCCGAGGCTATTTTTTCCATTGCTTTTCAGAGAGTGTGGAAGGGAGAGGGAGAGAAACATCAATGTGAGGCAGACACCTCAGTTGGTTGCCTCCTGCTCACACCCCAACCAGAGCCGGGGACTGAGCCTACAAACTGAGGTATGAGCCCTCAGCCAGAATCTAACCCAGGACCCTTCAGTCCGCGGACCGACGCTCTAAGCAATGAGTCAAACCAGCTAGGGCTATAAGCTCTATAATTTAACTAAGGCATATGACACTGATAATGTGACAGTCCCTAGTGCATAAAATACTCCATCCCTGGGACCAGAGCTAACCATTCTGCTGAGAATGCTTGTACTGAAATATATAGACCCTGCCCCTGAATGCCAAAGTCAGACCAGCAGCTCTCTGCTGCACAGCACCTGCCCTCCACGATGCCTACCACTTCTGATTCCCTCTGAGCTTGGTTTAATATCTACTTATCAAGAAGAAGATTCATTTTGGAACTATTTTCAGAACAAGTATAAAGACATCCTTAAGGATACATTAGCTAATTACTTTAATCCCATGAAATACATAAATCTCTCATCCTGCAATAAATTCAGCACACAGGAGGGCAAGCAGTCTCTCAGATTGGCCTACCTGGGTGAAAAATAGCATGGAAATATACAAATGACCAGGGTATATGGCAGAATTTGGAACAAAGCAGGTATCTGGAACCCTATCTATAATGGAAAGTACCAAATAATTTTTTTTATGTTGTTTCCAAAAACTTAAATATCTAGCAAGCCTAGATCACAGCTGAGTTCCAGACCGCCATAGTCAACTGGTCATCTCCACCTGGCCATCTTAAAAACCCTAAAACTCAGCCTGCCTACATCAGAACTCATCACTTGCCCTCCTATTTTGTATGTTTTATCTCAGTTAATAAGATCATTATCCACCCAGTTATCCAATCGGAAACCTGGTAGTTATTCTAGAATCCTATCTCCCCTCAACTGTCTCTCCACTGCTTCCAAATCCCTAAGTCTTAGAGATTCGATTTTGCGCACACACTCATATTTGTCTCTTCTGTCTCAACCCATAGCTTCTATTTAAATAGGATTCCACCAGTGGCTTCCTAACTGCTCCCCCTATACTGAGTCTTGCCCCCTCCAATCTGTCCTTCTATGTTCTGCCACAGTAATCTTTATGAAACAATCCTGATCACACTGTCCCTCTCATTAAAAACTTTCACTGGCTCCCTACAGTCTACAGAGTGACATTCAAGGTCAAAGTGGGGTAAACAATCCCCCCCAATCTGACCTCTCCAACCTCAGGTCTCCTCCACCTCACCTTGAACCCTCTGCTCCAGTCTGATGAGCTAGCTAATTGGAGTTCCCAGCACACCAGCCTGCCTCCCATCTACTTACCTCTGTTTGGACTGTTCCTTCTGGTGGAATGTCCCTCTGCCTTTCTGCTCCCAGCAAAATATTCTCATTTTCTGGGCCCACCTCCTCCACAAAACCTTTCCTCACTCTCACCCAAAAGGAAAAAACTGGACAGCTCTGCGCTTGAGACCCTGATCAAACCTCTCTCACAGCATCTGTTATGGCACTTATTTAGTAACAACTATGAATTCCCAAGAGCAAGGACTGTATTTTATCTTATAACCTCAGTGTCTAGCAAGGCTGCTGATGCATAGGAATTGAATAAATATTGGTTAAATGAATGAATGTTTCAATGACGGTGTTCCAACAACTGAGATTCTTTACAACTCTGATCCTTTGCTTTCAGCTGCTTATGATGCGGAACTGCCTCTTAGTCCACATGCGAGTCATTTGTAGAGGACCAAAAAATAAACGAATTCTGGCGATATATCACCTTCTTATCCCCTGAGAAATCATTTCTCTGTTCTGTATTCCTGAAAGACGAGTCATGTTTCAAGATATTCCAAAAGCTGATAGTGTGAAACTATCAAAATGAGTTATTCCCAGTCCCTAGCCCTCGCTGTTTTAAGCTCCTTCTCCTGGCAGTGACGATTATTCGCGTGAGGCGCAGGGTGGAGACACTAACTAAAGCAGAATGACTGTGGCATAAGCCAACATCACATATGAAGTCTACCTCCATGTCCCCTGCCATATAGATGAAAAATAACACTGGGAATGAAAACTGACTTCCTTGGATTTGTGGCTTCTAAGCCAATGAAGAAGTCACATAAAAATAAAGGAAGCATCCTTGATTTAGCAGAAGACAGGCCCGTGCCCAAAGTAGAACCTCTGTAAGGCTCTGGGCCCACCTAGTATTTCATCTAAAATGTCAAATATCTGCAATGCAGCAGCAGCTTAATACCTAGCAAATACCCTCCTCTCCAACTGCTGATTTCATACTGAAAAACGAGCAATTTAAATAAATGTTTCATTAACATAATGTTTTCCTGCTTGATACTAATGTAATTTGTTTTCCACAATTCTCTCCCATGGAGTCATTTCATGTAGTCCTGCACTGGGCAATCTGAAACTCTCTGGGTCCCTAACAGACAATCCAGGAAACCTAGAAACCATCCAAGCAACCAAACAAATAAGTAAAACCCTTACACTAAAGAACTGTTCAGACCCATCTGTTCTGGAATACACATCACATGTGATACAGAACAGGACGAACCCTCCCGACAACCTCGGTGGCGCTGGGTTTGTACTGATTGAGCAAAGCATCGTTCAAAGGGCATTGTTGGTCCCTAAGAAAGAATGGGAGGGTGGCTTACTCAGGAAGAATGTGTGGGGGTGACATTTTGTTTTAAGGCCCTACAAGGCTTGTTCCCATTCTGTTTTGCTTATCTGGACAGGATTCATGCTCTATGCTGGTTCCAAACCCCAAAAATTTCAAGGATATTTCTAACATCTTTTATTAATAGAAGTTCTTTAAAATTTCATAGCAGAATGCTCAGATACACTCCAAATAGGCAAAAACAGGTGCCATATAAGGGTGTGTTCCTCCAAACCCTGCGAGGCACAGGGAATGCTTAATCATGATGGGGACTGCATTAATGAAAGGTCCTCTTTTGGGTGGGTCCAGCCACATTGGAATGGTTCTGTGTGTGCCATTATGCTAAAGATGAGACCTTGATTTGGTTCTATTACACGTGGGGAGCAAAAATAAAACTGAATGAAGAGGTGAAACACTTAAATAGTGAACTGTATGGAACTTCCCGGGTGCCATGTGTGTGGTGGGAAGTGGAAGACCCGTCAAAGAGTGGAAATAACACTGGTGGGGCTGGCATTCCAGGCTCTGCAAGGCACTGAACAAGTGACTCTATTCCCTGAGCTTCATCTCCTTATAAAATAAAGCAACAACAATAACAACACTAGCAACAGTGTGGTGGCAGCTTCCCTTTACTGAGCACTTACTATGTAGCAGGTGCTACTGGAAGCACTGTACAAACACTTGTGAAGCACCATCTCACTAAATTCCCAGGCCACATGTAGGGAGAAGGTATTCACTTCATTTCAGAGGAAGCTCAGAGCTCAGTGACTGGCCCAAGGTCACCAGCTAGCGTGCATGTCAGGGTCTGAGTTCAAAACCAAGTCTACTTGACTGCTGTGATCTTGGGAAAAAGTAACCACCTCAAATACTGCTGCAAATGTTATAAGACATACTACGTATAGTTGAAAATTGCTCTCAAAGAAAACACAGTCAGTCCACTGACAGAGTCCACTGACCCCCGCCTGCCAGTCCTGATCACCCTCTTTGAACTCTGGGAGGCCAGCACCCACAGCCTTCTCCCTCCCTTGGACTAGAGATGGATAATCCCAAGGCAGCCAGGGAAGAAGGCCATGCCTCCTGGACTTACTTTCTGAGAACGGCTATCTCATTCTCTATGCTGCTTTCTTTGCCCTTCAGTGCCTTCTTAGGGATGCACTTCACCGCAAAGAGCTTTCCAGTTGCCTTCTCTTCAGCCAAAACCACTTCAGAAAATGCCCCGCTGTAAAGAAAGAGGGAGAAAAAGAGTGGTTTAGATTCAGGAGTTAGGGGTTCCAAAGGCTCCTCTAATCCCACTGCCAAAGTTTGAGCAGTAACAGTGATGCAAATGACCACCAGCATTACTGTTACCTTATTGCTCAGCACCACCCCCGACCAAACTTCTTTATGCAAAGACACACATACACACACAAATGTATCCTCATGTGAAGGGATGCATGGCTGTCCACATGGGTTTGGGTGCCTCTGGTGACACCTGCCACCCTGCAGAACAACACTGTAGCAGCCACTTGGGAACAGAGAAGTTCCCAGCAAGGTTCCTACCGAGGAAGATCGTGTCCATCTGAAGCTGTCAGCACCCCACACCCAAGGAGACCAGAAGTCATACTAAAATTTCTAAGAGTCCTCACAGGCCCTTTCATCCCAAGAAAATTTCAGAGCACTTCAAAAACATTTAATTCTCACAGATAGGTAAAGATGTGACTAAAAAAACAGTGTGTTAGTGCAGCATGTGTTATTGGCACCCAGTTAATTAATTGCTAGGGAGGGGCACGCAAGTTTTCAATAAGCAGCTTCTTTCTTTATTAAACCAGCCAAAGACACAAATGATGACCTGAGTGGGAGAGACTTTCCAGCCTGAAAATATAAATTTAACTCTGCAAGGGCAGAGCAATAAGCTGAAAATGTAACCAGGACTTGAGTCAACACAGCCCATGTCTCCAGAGATGTCCCCTGTGGTCAGTGAGCCCTGGAGCCAGTACCTCACTGGCCACCTTGTCCCCCTGCCCACCCAC